CACATGAATAACCTTTTTCAGATTGTCCTCTCAGGAAGGGAGAAGGGGAGGGAGGAAGAGATAGAATTTGGAAGTCAAAACTTTAAAAACAAATGTTAAAAATTGTTTTAACATGTAATTGGGGAGAAAGTAAAATTTTTTTTAAATGTTTCTTGGAAATACACAAACAAGGGGCAGCTAGGTGGCGCAGTGGATAGCGCACCAGCCCTAAAGTCAGAAGGACCTGAGTTCAAATCTGGCCTCAGACTAAACACTTGACACTTACTAGCTATGTGACCCTGGGCAAGTCACTTAACCCCAATTGCCTAAATGAAAATAATAAATAAAAATAAAATAAATAAAAATTTTTTTTAATTTTAAAAATTAAAAAGAAATACGCAAACAAATGTTTTAGTGTTGACATTGTGTCCCTTCTTCCATATTGTCCTATTTCTGGCAAAGGCATCTCTATCCTTCCAGTCTTCCAGGTTTATAATTCTTATTATCCTTCATTCCTCGTTTTCCCTCCACATGAGGAAGCCCTCCCACATCTGAGTAGTGGCCAAATCTTGCCATCTCTCCTTCACAAAATCTCTCAGCCAGTACTCAAATAGTCAACAAGCCTTTATTAAGTGCCAGGCACTTTGCTAAGTTTTTTTTTTTTCCCCATCAGTCTACATTGCTCTCAACTTCTCCATCATGGCCCAGAAACCTCTTCATCTTTTATCCTTGGAAATCATATCTGGGAAATTCCCTATGCCCTGGGCCCGGGCCCCTCCCTCTGATTAGAGGACTCCTCCTAGAACCTCCATTTAAGGAGGGCACCGAGGCCAGCTTTGTCTTCATTTCCCATCAGGCTGCATTCCTCTGGACTCTACCCTTCTCAGCTTCCTTTTACCTGTTGTCTTCCCCATCAAATGCAATCTTTTTGAGGATTGGGACTGTCTTTTTGTTTGTATTTATGTTCCTAGCATGTAGCATAGTGCCTGGCGCACAATAGGTTCTTAATAAGTATTGACTGACTGATACAAAGAAAATCAAAAACAGTCCCTACTCTTTTCGTTGAGCCATTTCAGTCATGACCCCATTTGGGATTTTCTTGGCAGAGAGACTGGAGTGGTTTGCCATTTCCTTCTCCAGCTCATTTCACAGATGAGGAAACTGAGGCAAACAGGATTAAGTGACTTGTTCAGGGTCACCCCACTAGGAAGTGTCTGGGGTCAAATTTGAACTCAAGTCCTTCTGACTCCAGGGCTGGCGCTCTGTCCACTGTGCCGTCTAGCTGGTTCAGTTCCAGACCACTGCAATACAGTAAAAGTCACATTAAAGTGAGTCACATAAAATTTTGTTTCCCAGTGCACAAAAAAGTTGTTTATTGCATAGTGTAATATAGTGTAGTATAGTGTACTGTAGTCTATTAAGTGTGCAATAGTATCACGTCCAAAAAAAATCAATGTGCATACCTTAATTTTAAAAACTTTATTGCTAAAAAATGCTACCATCTGCACCTTCAGCAAGTCATGATCTCTTTGCTGGTGGAGGGTCTTGCCTCGACGTTGATGGCAGCTAACTGATCAGGGTGGCGGTTGCTGAAGATTGGGGTGGCTGTGGCAATTTCTTAAAATAAAACAACAATGACAGCTACCGCATGGCTGTTCCTTTTGTTTGAACACTTAAAGGCCACTGTAGGGTTATTAATTGGCCTAATTTCAACATTGTTGTATCTCAGGGAATAGGCAGGCCTTAAGGGAGGGAAGGTGGGGGGAACTGCTGGCAAGCGAAACAGTCAGAATATGCACAACATTTATGAATTAAGATCACTGACTTATGGGTGCCGTTCATGGTACCCCAAAACAATTTCAGTAGTAAGATCAAAGGTCACAGATCACCGTAACAGATATAGTAATGATGAAAAAGTCTGAAATATTACAAGAATTACCAAAATGTGACACAGAGACATGATGGGAGCACGTGTTGTTGGAAAAGCAGTGATGATAGACTTGCTTGGCACAGGATTGCACAAACCTTTAATTTGTACAATTTTTATTAAAAACATAGAGCAATGCTTAATAAAACAAAGTATTTCCCTCCTTCCTTACCACTGCCGCATAGAGTCCCAGGTACCATCTTTTGCATGAAATCTTTTCTGATTTCCCTGCCCCAAAATTGCCAGTGCCCCGCTCCAAAAAAAACTATCTTGTATTTAACTACTTTGCATTTATTTGTATTTATTCTCTTTGTGTTTATATGTGTTTGTGGTCACTCTTTTTGGACCGTAAGCTCCTTGCAAGTTGAGCATATTTCATTCTTTCAACTTGAAAGCCCAGATCCTGACACAGAGCCTGGCACAGAATAGGTCCTTAATAAAGACTTGTTGATTGATTGGCCTTCTGGCTCTTTAACCATACTTGGGCAGATAATGGTGCCTTATTGTTTTCGCTGAAGGTAGAAAAACTGAGGCAAGCAAACTAAAATCCAAAAATCCGTATCTGTTCTTCTTTAAGCCTGGGAAAATGCTTACGTAAAACTACCAAATAAAACTAAGTCAGCTTGGAACTTGCCCCATGGAGAAAATATAACTAACTTGGGAGTGACATGCAGATACTGAAAAGGGACACCTCCCTTGCTGCTAGACATATTAGATTTAAAGTAAATACATCTGTAACAAAGATGACTTTTGAAAGTTCTTTCCTCACATCAGCCTTGTGAGGTAGGTAGTACAAATATTATTCCCATTTTATAGATTGGGGAAACAAGCTCTAAGAGGCTGTGACTTGAGAGTGCCCCACTTCAGTCATGTCTGATTCTTCATGACCCCATTTGGGGATTTCTTGACAAAGATACCAGAGTGGTTTGCCATTTCCTTCTCCAGCTTATTTTACAGAAAAAGAACTGAGGCAAAGGGAAGTAAGTGAATTTGGCCAGGGTCACACAGCTATTAAGTGTCTGAAACTGGATTTGAACTCAAGAAGATGAGTTTTTCTGACTCTAGGCCCTATAATCTATCCACTGAGCTGCCCAGCTGTTGAGATTTTAGGTAGAGATCTCTAATGTACCAGCACCCAGGATGGAGCAGAACAGGGGTAATATGGAGCACACAGCACTAGAAAATCTGATTCAGTCTTTGTTCTGTTGACCTAAAGAAACTCAGGTTGCCACACAGAGGGCAAGCTAGCTATCCTCCATTTTCCTGTGGCTCAATTTCTCCATCTTTAAAATAAGATGATTTCTTCCAGCTGAGTAAACATCACCTCATTGGTTAATATTTACTGGGTCCTTAGCTGGAAAAAAATATTTTCA